AGATTTCTTTTAAAAACTTATTACTTAATTGTTTTTTTTTTATGAGTATTTAGAAGTAAAAACTGGTTATACGATGTTTAATGTTTATGGTTTAGAAATTATGATTATATTATTAATGAGCTTTATTAATATTAATTATTCATTTACGTATAATAATTATTCAAACTTATTTTGTAGTATTAGTTTTTTAACTTTATTATTTCTATAGCTGTCCAATGTCCACATCAATTAATGGGTAGGTAAATGATGTATAGGTAGTTAAATTAATTTTATTTAAATATATTTAAGAGGACACAACCCATGCGTTTGTTGTCTCTGTCTTACAAACGTACGATATAGCAAATTGTCGTTCACAATTTCAATAGTGTGCTGTTAGTTTTGATATTAGAGCGAGTTGATATATCATTAAACTTTTAGGTAAGAACAATATCTGTGCTTAAGCTTCGGCGATCTTTTCGATATTTTAATTTTCAAGCAAGAAATGCGTACGTTGAGTATCAAAAGTTACAGATAATCATATATTTTACTTGAAATTTAAAATTGAATATTTTAAATAACTTTAAATTAATGTTGAATAAAAGCCGAAGCTTAATCACACATAACGTTCTTATGTAAAAGTTTGATTATAATACGTCAAATTCATTAATATTAAATTCACTCTAATATTAAAACTAACAGCACACTATTGAAACTAGTAAACGAAAGTTTGCTATGTCATAAGCGTGAAAGATATAATACTATGGATACAATTAGTACATGGGTAGCGTCCCCTTAATAAGAAATCGAATGATGTAATTATACAAAACAATACTGAAACAATTATTGTTTGACGAACTATACCTACTGCTTTGTTCGTTATTAATATTATAATCATATTAATTTTACAATTTTTGAAAACTAATAAGCTTGTATAAATTGAAAACCATGTAAAATTCATAAACTTTATTATTTTTCATTGAGTGGTTGTTTGCTGGGAAATAGGTCACATAGCTATTCAATTAACCTACATTCGTCCATGTTTAGGCCGAGGGTGGTTTTTTTTAGTTTTATTTTGATAAATATGTGTGGATAGTGGATCCATAACCAAATTAATATAATATTTTAACTTATTCAAGCGTAGTTATAAAGTACATAATATTATATAATAAATATAGCAGTTGCTATGTTGTTATGAAAACACAACGCAAAGTGTCGTATTATGAATTATATTAATTGTACCTATTCGTGACTAAGATATTTATTATTTTGTAATTATTACAAAGGTGTGAACCTTGACGTTTTTGTAGATTTATTTTTAATCTCACATAAATTAAACATACTTATGTATAAAAGGTTGTATAAAATAACTATTTTGCGATTATTGATTTACATCAATATTACAAAACAATGAGTTTACATGGAAATAAAAATCTCGTCCATTTCAATGTTTAAATCTTTTTTGTTCAACTAAATACTGTTTGAATCAATAATTGTGTAGATTATATACATTCAGTAAACTGTCTTCAGATAAGTAAACTTATGAATTATGATAAATCATAAAAAAACACACACAGACACTATAAGCCAGTGGCTTACAACCAGTGTGCCTCGAGATTTGAAAGTTTTTTAGTAATTACAATTAATAAAAATTATATAAGAATATATAATAAAATGCAATTTCGGTGTATACTCGTACAATTAAATAATAAAAAAAATGTCTTAGTTGGAGATGAAGTTATTTAAGGCTGAGCCGTATAGGTTGTGAACATTTTGTGAAGATTACAGTGTGCTGTGTTTAAAAAAAAGGTTGACAACCACTGTACTAAGTAGTAAGTAAACAATTTTACAAAATAAACACTATTAGAAAGATTTGAATAAACTTTATAAAGGATATAAATGTACTCTGGAAAAATTACGAATCAAATATGAGGTACCTAATCGATATTCCAAGTAGGTAGATATATTGTTGACAATAAAAACGTAGTTGTAAATCTAGATTTTTAGTTGATAAATTTTTGTTAACGTAATAAAAATATTTTTATAGTTTTATTATGCAAAATTAATTGCATAATATATTTTAGCCTAAATGTATATTTGAAATTTGTCAAATAACTGTTTTCTTAACTTTATTCGTTAGTCGTGAAATTATTATTAATTATACATGTCTATAAATAAAGTGAACATGTATATTGTATATATATATTTATATTAATAATTATTCGACCAATTAATTATAATTATTTGTAACTTACTATAACCTACATTATAGTGCATTTACTATGTCGCTTTGTCGTTTATGCATTTAAAAAGTGGTACTCGGATTGCACTTTATTCTCTGGTTGGTATAATAATATCCTTACTTGTAATATAATACGTACTAGAATACGTTTTTTAAACAATTTTTTATACTCTGATACTCTGATATTCTGTACATTTTCTATACATATTTTACCATTATATAATTGTATCGTAAGACCTAATTTATAAAAATTTAAGACTAAGGTGGTCTTAGTTTTTATTTGAGTATATTGTGAAGAAAGTGTATCTTCTCATTGCTTACGTATTTTATTTAGAATTCGGTAGGTATTGCAAATTATAATTCATCAATACATGTCCAGAAGGTAACAATTTGTTCTTATACTTATAGATTGATTTTTTTGTACTGTAAATAAATAGTATTTTAGATTAATTTTATATTTGTCTAGCACATTGTTTTATTTCGATAAAATTTATTATCACTGACGTTTTCAGTATTTTTAATGGAAGGGTGTTGAATAATTGATTACAAAAACCCACGAGGATGATTGTAGCCCTTATCCCCGCAGATTGTATAGTAACTGCAGAATATTTAAGGATAATGATAAAAAATGATTTACCAATAAATTATAAAAAAATTCATATTATTTGCCACTATTATCTTATGTTTAAAATTTAAATAGGTTCCTCGAAATCAAAAGTAGTAAAAAAGACACAGGGAGAGGATTTGTATCATCAGTATCAAATATATCCCGATCCCCCCTCCCCTCAGTTAGAACTCTATGTAGTTTTTAATGTACTCTGATAAGTGATAACTTATATAAGTTTAATAAAGTTAAATACGTCAAATAAAAGGACTTCTTGTCCTTCTTCTCCGAGAACTTTTTGTCCTAAGAAAGTTCTTTGTAAAGTAAACATGGATGTTCATATAAAATTAAGTATTTTCCCCAAGTTAAACAAACATTGTGTAATTTGTTGCAAGCTTTAAAATTGAAAATTAAGTATGAAACAATTAAAGGCAATTGCCTTATATTATAATTTTCTTAAATAACAAAGTAAGATAGAGATTTTTTTGTAATGGAATGCAATGACTTAACTTTAATAGTTTTTACTTTTTACACAAAATTACAATTTGAAAATTCACTTCGTAACCCCGTTTGACGGCACATAATCATTATTTTTGTTTTTAATTCAACTTTTTTCATTATTGTTTTGTGATGTATTCGAACTTCTCAAAACATTTAATAAAAACTCGTTATTAAAAAAGTAAAAACATAATAGGTACCATATTATTTACAATAACTACAAAAACCATTTACGTGTTTATTGTTATTACTTATTACCTGCCACAGTACCACCACAGTGCACTGATTACACAACCGTATTCTCGAATGGAGCTTAGACTGCGGAATGGCTATGATTGGTGCGTAAAGCCACCGGGTTTATCTTCAGATTGGATGAACATTTTGATGTTTAGAGGTAATGGCTTGAAATGCTTACGTTTCCACCGACCATAATTTGTCTATGGGATGTCGATTTAGTTATAATACTTAGAATGATATTATTAGGATGTCCCTATTATAAGTAGGTATTAAAGTATACATAAGTGGTTTGGTTTGCTCATTGTACCGGCCGTGAAAAATGATTAAATATTAATTGATGTTCACACGTGTATAGGTACTGCAGAAGTTGGTATTTAGATAGCATCCGGGATTGTAAGAATTGGTGCTACTAAAATTTGTCTATTGCCAATTGTATTTCTCAAAAATGTTACTCATGTGTTAGAAAACGATTTATTATTTATGTTTGATTTACACTATCTGCTTGTCCCCTATTATTCCAGTGGTTGGTCTGGTATTTATAGGGCCCGTTTATGTGTTATCGGAAACGTATTTAGCATATTGTTGCAATCTAAACTAAATTTGATACACTACTCGTTTTCGGGTAATCCAGAATAGCGTCCGTACAGGTTTAAGGTATGTTTTGTTTTAGGGTGGTATTTCGATTTGGTATTACCCCCACGCACTCAGCCAAAATCGTAGGTAATCGTTATAACAACGGTATAGTAGATGATATATACCTACACAGTTATTATAGGTATAACTCGTTAATTTCATACAATAAAAGTGTATGAACGAAAATGTAGCTAGAAAAAAATTATCGAGTTCTCGAACCAGCTATTATTATGCGTACGGACTAGGTCATATTTAAAATCAATTCACTGAGGTATGTTACAATACCACACATTGCGATTAATATTATAATAATATATGCCGCGGAGACGGCGAGGTGTCTTATCCTATCCGGGGTCGTCTGGAAGCCGGTGGCGGCGCTGTGTACACGTCGTCGCGTCTAAACAACCACAGCGGCCCACAGCGGCCCACGCCGCCTCGGAGTTCCGCACATCATCAAGTATAGGTACCTACCTGCAGCAGGTGACCGCCGCCGCCGCCGCCGCCGCCCGAGGTTTCGGAAAAAAAAAAAGAAGGAGCGGGTTTTTATGACGTATTTACCGCCCCTTTTGAAACGGCCGTGGCGGATAAAAACATTCCCCCTCGCCCGTCGTCCGCCGTGCCGCACGCGAGCTTCTATAGGTACGCGCAATAATACGTCTCGAAACCGAACGAACGCCAATGGCGCGCTTTCGCCTGTGCCCGTGTGCGCGTGCCTGCGTGTCCGTGCCCGCGGGTGTGCTTGTGTGTGAGCTGCGCGCGCGCACACAGCCCTTCGGAGGACCCTGCGACGCGGCCGATCAATATGTGACGAGTTCGGCCGTCGTCGGGACCGCCGTACCAGTCTGCCTAGCTCCGTGGCGTTAGTAATTAGCAAGCATGGCGACCGCACAGTGATAAAAATATAATTTTTATTTTTTTTTTTTTTTGAAGAGAGAAAAACATCAATCGACTCTGTGCGCGGCACTCGAAGCATATCGTAATAGAGGTGAGTCCGCACGTCCAATAATAGTATTTACCTTTATCCTCTTAAAATTATTTACGTGTGTAAATGTGTGTGTGTGTGTGTGTGTGCGTGCGCTTGAATGTGAGCGTGTGCGTGTGACTTCGATATTATATATTATTATAGGTACATATTATTTTATTGCATTGTTATTATTACTTATTGTACATAACTGCGCACACTTATGAATAACTTATCTGTAACCGATCGGGTTAACGCGGCGGCGGCTACCTCAGCCGGTTATTTTGGACGTCATTTAAAGTCTTTTCGTTTTTCGTATTATTCATAGGTACCTAGGTACCAGTTATGGTTAGGCACTCATTGCACGACGACGGGCACAGGCCTGGCGCTATGCGATTACATATATATATAGGTGGGCACACATAATACCATCCCGTCCTCAATTTATAATAATATTACATACTCTACGTACACACATCGGCCAAAAGATAAGTTTCTTTTGTAAACTCTCTGGACAGTCCAACGTCATAAAGCGATGATGCGAAATTGCGAACGCGTATCAGTAATAACCACATTTGATTCGTACCCGGTTCGAGACAATACACGATTTGCACGCCAAGTTGTGTAATATAGACTAGTATTACATATATTATAGAATTTCAACAAGCTAGGATCCATTGGGCCCCGGAACATTAGACACTTAGTAGGTCTTTTTCAATACTCAAACTTGAAACATAATAATAATTGAATTAGTATTTTTAAGGTTGTATATGATTTTTTAACTATTTACCATTTAAAATAATAACGAAAAAGAAAACTTAGACTAACAAAATAATTATTTAATATAATTTTAATATTACACACAATTTTAAATTATTTAAATAAATATACTTCAGTCGCCACAACCACTGCGGTACAAAATTATACTTTAAGCTTTGAACATTAACATAAAATATTGTTAACCCACGCGAATATATCAAAAACGCCTAATATAAATTCATAATTAAACATGTTAATACTAATAAGTAATATTACTATATTATAATAAAGTATAATTTAAGAACTATAAATGCCGTAATACCATGTACTACATTGAGTTATATGGTTTACAACTACTATTATTATCACTAATTTACAAACTTTTTCAACTTATATTGTTATCAAGCAATTATTTTTTATGAATGTATTTGTTATTATTTAATATTTAGTAATATTTCGTTTTGTTTTTATTTTAATTTAATTTTTTAAAATTTCTTTTGAACGTGTGCATCAAGAAAATTGTAGAAAGAGATGGCCCCTCTTTAATCCGGGTTTGGCGTTCGACATTAAACACGTCATAATATTAGATAACGTCATAAAATAACTTGCCACAAACAACATAATGTATATTGTATACAACGATCGACAAATGGCATTTCAACTGGTTCAATTCGAAATGCAGTGGCGTATAATTAACTGATCATTTTTTTTTATAAATATGTACATCAAACGATCCAATCATAAAACGATTAAAAACAATATCGAGTAGCAACGATGACCCTAGTCCTTAGTTATTCAATGTTGCTAATTTGAAGATGTAAAGTAGCAAAATTTGAATTATTTAAATCCAAACGTAATCTGTAATTGACTGATATGTATCCCTATCATATATTTAATTACACTATAATTTCAACAATGAATCCTGCAAGTGCTTAAAAATATATGTAATGATTATATGTACTACCTATTATTGTTTACCTATTATTTATTTAATACCTATATTAGTTATATATTTCATATAAAATATATAAGAATATTTTTATACTGGCATTAGGTAAAATAGAACATTGACTTGGTTTGTATCGATACACCCTTAATCGTTATTAATATCATCGATGTTTATTGGCACTGACCAGGCAAGGCGGTACCTACCTTTATATTTGTGAGATTTACTTACTGGTTTCATTAATGGTCTTAAATTATACAATTTTGATGAATAAAATGGAATCTACTGTAGTTAAATCAATTTATTTTCGTGCGAATGAAGATTTTAAGAAGAATGTTAATAAACTGTTTGAATTGGTTTCAGAATATTATAAATGTTTTAAAAATTGAAATAAATACTAATAGTTCGAATAATATCGAATGTGGAAGATTTAATAAATTATAAACTATAATTTAAAAATGAAAAGTCAGGTTCCCTTACAAATCCAATTGTTTTACGTGTCATTAATTTAGTTAGTTGATGATAAGTTTTAAGAACTTATAAGTTAGGTACTTATATATAGTTATATCCATAAAATGCTTAATAGTTCAATTATTGTATTATGATGAATAAAATAATAATATGCTGAATTGACAAGACAGTTTCATAAAATGTAAATGCTAATAAATGCATTATATTTATACTTTAGGATGGTAAGATAGGATGGTAAGACATGAAGATTTATAATGATAAATAGTAATTCGTCATTCGAGTTCATGTATTTTATAATTCTGTAACAAATTAATGTGACATTATTAATAAATTCTTGAACGAATTGAGTGCTCATGTAATGTTTAAGACCTAAAAGTTTGTCGTTCCATAGTTGTTAATTATTATCAATTTTCTTAGAATAGAATTCAAATTATTCAACGCAAGTACCTAGTTAACATTTAAAAAGTACATCAGAAGTAATGATGTTAAGTATATGGTTATATTATTAGTACTACATTAGGCATTATGCCTATATGCGGGCCATATTTGTTAAAAAATAAGGGTTATTATTTAAAAATATATTATTGTTCCCGCATTATCGATTCTGATGCATATTTAATGCCGTAAAATATTACTATATTTTTTCATTCACAAACATTTCAACTGTATTTTTGGTGTCGTAATATATATATATATAATTTTTATTTGCACACATAATTTGTGTTGAACTGAATAACATAAATTGTTTTTTTTCCAAACAAGGATGGATGGAAATTAATGTAAATAGTTTAAATGTAGTCATTTTTAATTTTTAATTTATTTGCTAGTAATAATAATGACCATATAAAACATTTTCTTAAGAAAATCAACAGTATATATTTAGACTGAATAAACATGAACATGAAATTGTTTTAATTTAAGCCACGGCTTTATACCTAAAATATTATAGTAGGTATCTATAGTAATTATACCATAATATAAACATCGATTGACCGCTTAATGTCATTCAAATACTAATTATTAGAAGCTTGCTATTTAGTTTTTAAAAAAAGATCTGACATTATCTAGTCGGTTAAACTGCCAATATTAGTACATTTTGAATCATAGTCGTACGTGTGTTAGATACTTATATGTTTCATCTCTAGGAATATTTCAGATGTATTTAAACCTAAGTTTCCTTAAGTTAACAAAAATGTAAATCAGTTTTGGATAATGCAGTTGTAAAAACGCTTTACAAATATGTAAATGTTATCGTTTGTCCATTTTACGTGAGCCTCCACAGAGAATAAGCCTTCTTCTTCAAGGTTCTGTACTATTCCATAGTTCGACCATTACATAAGTATGGTTCCTATGAGATCTTTAAATTGTCACTAACTCATCAATTTTAAAGCGAGTTCAAAAATATTTCCTTTCTTTCTTCACGCATTGAGCACCATATTCACCACTTAATATTTTTCAACTGATATTGTTAATATATATTGAGATCTTTGTATTACATTTTTAAGATGTTTGATCCAACAAATAAAATGTTGTTGACAATTATGGAAAAAAACTGAAAAAATTGAAAGTTGAAATTATCCGTAAACAGCTCAAAACAAGTCAAAATATGTTGAAAATTCTATCAAGTATAATATGAATTAATAATATAAACATATGGTGTAAATTTCAAGTATTTGCAGTTATTTGTTTTTGAATTACAACAAAATAAGAAAATCGCTTATGAGAAATGGAGTGATCCAATATTGTAAGAATTTCAACTTCAAACACTCATAAAATTTTAATTTGACTTTCCAGTAGAATTATTTTTTAACGAAGGTAGACAAACTTTGTATTTAAATTTTAAATCGTAGATATAAAAATAACATTCCTTATGAATTTCCAACTTGAAATAATTTGCAAATTTTTGAGATTTTTACGAATTTTGTCAAAATTCTAATAGAAAATATTGTGAATTTTTTTTAATTTCCACTAACAACAACTTACGAAGAACATTGAATTTTGAACCTTGACATTTTCAAGTATTTTGACCGAGTAAACATTTTTTATCGACATGAGTTAAAAAAAAAACAAATAATAACACGGGTTATTTACACGGAATATTTTGGGTGCATAGAAAACGCGGATATAAACATTCAGTGAAAATTTCAAGTATCTACGATATATTTTTTAGAGTAACATCAAAAACCAAAATCGGTTTTGTCGAACACTATGTTTCATTAAAAATCCCCGTTTATCCTTAATATTTTGTATCAAAGTATTAACTAGATTTACTTTCCTATGAGAAAAGATGCTGTTGAAGAAAATCGAGGCATTTTTACTGTCCTGAAACGAGATAACAAAACAAAAAAAAATATAAAAACCATACGTCTTTGTAAAATCAATATATTCATCGCTCCTCTTAGAACCTAAAATGGTCACTTGAGTTATGTTATTTCCCTCAAATTTATAAGAATGGATAATTCCTTGAAAAACATTTGTCTGGAATGGCCAGGAATACTTGAGAATTCGTTGAAATCAAAGGGAAATCGAGTTACAGTTTACGTATCGCAAGACTAAATAATGGTATATTTTATTTCAATATGAATGTATTTTTTGTTAGTAAATTTAAATTCAAAGAGCACCACTTAAACTGCTTGAAAATATATACAAAAAAACAAAAAATTAGGTTTCAATAAGGATATGTACCTGTTTAGGAAATTAGGTGGAATCAATGGGTCTCATACTCCCATAGCTCCATTACAATTCTTTGATTTTTTACTACAATAATACAAGAAAATAAATAAACAAACAATAATCATTGTATGTTCTACCTAACAATTGAACCCAACAAACCTTTTATAATAGTTAATGATAATAAAATATACCAAATATATAAAATAAATATAATTTTTTATTTCTTAATATTTTAAAGAATTGTAAAAACTTAAAATATCACTGTTAATTATTGAATATAATTAGTAAATAGGTATAATGAAAACGGGGTGTACCGTAAAAAGGCGATAAAGATTATAAAATAATAAGATATATGAATTTAAAATAACAGATTATATTCTAGGGCGTATCAAAATCCCGATAATGAATTTCGGGACACCTCGACGAACTTTAAAAACTATCCATACTAATTATACTATAATACTTATGATATTCTAAACTCGAGGTATAATATGCAATTTTGGATCCATGGTAACTAGCGAATAGATAAAATTATTGGGTACGTTGGGTAGTATATAATATTATATAAGTACTTACTATGACCACAATATTACTCTTTTTCTACTAAAAATATTTGTTATACATTATGATTAATAACTAAACTCCATCGTATTATAGTAGATACAAGGTTTTATAATGCATTTTATAATTATTTTTTTGTATCTACACAGTTATATGATTATGTTTAACAAAAATACATAATTTAAGACATAGGATTGCCAATATAATAATCAAACATATTAATTGAAAAAAAAAATGTAATTTTTGACAGTTTTTTGTATTGCCTACCAAGTCAGATAGCATAATATGCGGGTATGACATGGCGTCCTCTTAAAATGTGATATCTGGATTAATAATCAGTTGTTATTAATTAGTACATCACCATTATAATTTGTACATTTTATCAGATCATGTACATTTTTTAGAGTCTGGGATAGGAAGCTATACTGAAATGAGAATCACCCTACAAATTATATGCCAGTTATTATAATGAGCAACTTGTCTGGAGTTGAGCTTAGCTTACAATTATCATTACATATTATTAGTGTCTATAAAAATAAATTTTGATTATTTTTTTATTGTAATAAATTTAAAAAAATATATAATAGTTTTACATGATATCAAAATGGTTTCAATAAAATATCCATTTTAAGAACAATGTTTTTGTTGGTATTATAAATATACGTTTAATATATGAAAACATTGTAGGTAGATCGTCCGTATTTTATAACAAAAAAAAATCAAAACTTATATTAAAACAGAATTATTTAGAAAAAGTAAATACAAAAAAAAAAAAAAATTTTATATTGTTACAATCTGTAGAATTTTATTAAAATTATATACTGTGTTCTATTATCCAAGAAAATTTATCTCATAATGAAAAAGTCATAACTGAATTTTTCTATTTGTAATTTTAAGATTACGCGCGATTCCCAGTAGTATAAAGTATATTTTTTTTATATATGTAAGAGATGGAGTTAAAATATTTAGGATCTAGATAATCTATGAATTTAAAAACTCAAGATTTTCTTGAATAATTAATTTTATCATTGTCCTATATTTCCTTTTTTTTTTAGAGATTCATAATATTTTATTTTATATGGAAAAGTCATTTCCTTAAATACATTTCAATTGATATGTTAGAACACTACCTAGAATTACGCAATATAGCAGAATCTTGTAAAATTATATTTTTATTATTTGTTCTGGTTGACATCATACAAGAATTCCAAACGAGATTAGTTGAACAATAGGTAGGTAATGAATAAAAAGAAAAAGAAATTCAATCAAGTCCACAGTAGGTATTTCATTATTTGTTTGCAGACTCGATTGGTTGGTACTGGGCTGAACCACCGAGGACCGCGGTATAATAATTGCAGCTAGGATTATCGGTGGCATTTTTTTTCACTTGTTTAGGTATATCAATAATTGTTTCACAACCAACCCCACTCAACAGTATTTTCTTCGTTCACGAATTACTAGATAATTCAATCAGAGAGTAGGTATATAGTTATCTGAAATTAAGTCTTCTAAAAAATTGTTCTAATAATTCATCAATAGTCGTCGGAATTATCTGCAGGTTGCGACATGTCGTTGTCTTAAAAGCGCTCACTGACGATTTCTGGGACGATGTCGCCTCTGTATACTTTTTTGAGTGATACAATTTCGCCCATCGTTCGATATAAAGAAATATAGTATTATACATTTATTCTCCAGTATCCACATTCAGTCCACAGACCGACAACAGGACCAATACGTTTGGGATTTTAAATTAAGATTTGTGATTTTTGTTCAGTGGGGTTAATAAATCACTCGTCGTTACAGTACATTTTACTTTTATCTGTTTTTTTTCTGTTTAAATTGACAATTTATTTTCATTTTTATTTTTAGTAGTATACGCTGTTTGATAGTTATGTCCTTGGAGAATAAAATAATATGTAGAAATAGACTTAAGTTTGTATTTTGTATTAGATGGATGAAACAAATACCAGTTTGTTATCCAGAAGATACCTATTACCGGTTAAATCTGATTTGATTGTGTTATGGTTTCAAAAATGCACAGAGTGTATTAGAATGAACTGAATAATGCAATCACTGTTGTTTTAATCAATTCTTAAATTTTTTTTATGTTATTTATAAACATTTGCTTTAAATTTAAAGTATACATTTTTTTTTTCATTTTTATTTAATGAAACTAAAAATTAAAATTTTAAAAATTGACAAATTGCAAATCTGATTATATGAGCAATTTGTATGGTTAACATATTTATTTAAGTCAAGTAGTTGATTTTTTAGATTTTTTGAAAATATCGTTATTTTTGTGGAGTAGGTCATTCATTGATTCTAAACGTAGTTACATTTTTCAAAATATTCTTTTCGGACATTTTCAGATGTAAGTTAATCTTAAATTATTTTTATAGCCATCTTCATTAAAATGTAAACAGTATGCACTATACTATCATACATACTATTGTTCTCTTAAAAAACTCGGATATCAACTAAAAAATATCAAACTTATGGGAAAACAATATTTTGATTTTTCATAAATCTATCGACATCCTTTTTTTGACATCAACGATCAGTGTGAATAATTTTTTAATACTTTATTGCTAATTTTTCGAAATTTATCACATTTTTTACTTACATAATTTAGCAATCTATGCATGTACATCACGAAAAAATCTTTTTTACATATATCATTCAGAAAACAATGATTTAAATATACACCTTACCTACATTTAAAAAAAAATTAACGTAGGCACATTCAAACTATGCGTAGCTAGAGACGTTTGATATGCGTTGGTCAGGGCATGTATCGTGTTAAATTTGCATTACAATTAGGTAAATAAAACTACACAATCATAATAAAGGAAAATTATATCCGATAAGAATAATATGCAGTCATTACATTAGGCACCCTTTTTATGTAGCGTAGTACATTTCATTTATTTTTTTTATTTTTTAACCTTTTTGCCGATAAAAAATAAATTTATTTCATCTGGTAAATAAATAATGCAAATTCTGTCAATTTGTTGGGATGCTTTTTTATATTATAAATTTGTTGGGTTAGATTTTTTATTTTATAAGAACTCTGTTACTTAGAATGATTTTATATCTAAATAAATAATTATATAGGTTAAGTTTAATACTCTTCATATTGAAACTAATTAAGCAAAATATTGTAAAAATAGAAATATTATTAGGAATACATTAGAAATAGGATTGTTAGTTTATTTTTTTTAAGAATATATCAAAAAACCACCAATATGTTTTTACTCTTTATATAACATTTTGAAGTGTTAAGTTTAATTCTCACTTTTACTGAGGGAAACTGAATTGCATACAATTGTATACAATAATATAAGTTAATACTTGACGGAATCGCTTGATTATTTTAAGACGAGTCAAAAGTTGTTCAAGCACACACTCACACATATTTAAATATATAATATAATACTAACATATTTGTTTTTATTTTTATGTTAAGGGGTGTTTGGATCTATTTTAAATGTTCCTGTCCAAGATCGAATCAAACAATCGGACTGATGTGCAGCTTAGGGTTCAAAACACGCAATAGTCCATCGCAGAAAACGTCATTGCGTTGGGGCGATTGTTGTCCGCTGTGGTTTTGAGCCAACTGCACTAAAACCCTGTAGGGAACTAAAATCGGCTTGCACTTATTTTTATTTTTGTAACTACGAGCCAAGTTTTCCGTTTCATAAGAGTTACCTTTATTAATCTGTTAACAAAAAGTATTTCGATATACATATCCTATATTTGTTTAAACTTTGTTACATACATTTTTATTGATATATTTTTGTTGTGTTGAAAAAAAATACCTAACAAAAGCAATTCGTTGGTGATATTGTTACCGGAAATGTGTTAGCGAAGCTGATCCAGAGAGAGTACTACTTGAAGACGAAAGCGAGAACAGTCGACCGGAGGTCAATTTAATTACAAAGAAAACCACTCGTCCGATAAACCGTCCGTGAGTGTTAATCGATTAAACTAAGCTTCTTGTACGACGTAATAAATCACGTCGAAACAATCGTATACAATATCATGATTTTTTTTTTACCGTAATATTCTGACCATTGCAGACGATGAACGTCGTGGGCGTCATATCTATAGTTTTCTTCTATTGCCTAATCCTGTCGGTCGGACTATGGGCCGGCAAGAAAAAACACACCGGAAACTCGGAGGAAGAAGTAATGCTGGCGGGCAGAAATATTGGGCTTTTCGTCGGCATATTTACTATGACGGGTATGGTGTTTGCTTGCTATATAATAGCGTTATCTAATGATATAAAATGCACAGTACGCAGGACGTTTTTTCATCTCATTATTATCATGTTCGGGCATTATGCGATTTAACTTTTTCTTTTTAAACTTTTAATGGCACATATTAATATGCTATTCTACACCACTCCGTGGTTAAAATATAAAAACACTTTCAAAATGTTTTATAATGATACGTACATAATATATAATTTAATACTTAAATAAGGAGTTTTCCGATTAGCGAAAAAAAAAATGACTCATGTACAGTGTACATTTATTATTTACACGTGTGAGAAATACATCGATTTAACTTGTGCTATTTGCATAATGCCTTCGTTTCAGCAACCTGGGTCGGCGGCGGGTATATTAATGGGACGGCAGAAGCGATTTACACGTCAGGCCTGCTATGGTGTCAAGCTCCGTTCGGATATGCTCTAAGCTTGGTCTTCGGTAAGTGATAGGTACACTCTTAATGTGCAGTATTTTAAATATGTGATTTTGCAATAATTATCATATTTGGTGTACACTTTGTCCATGAAACTATATTAAGTATAATCTTATAGTCAGGGCTGGCTTGGTGAATAATAGGGCTATGTGTGAAATGTTTTTGGGGGCCTATTTAGTGGGTGTTAGCCGTTAGATTTTAAGTGTTTTGGGGCCTCAGAGACAGTCCGATTTTAAGCTTATCGATGAATCTGAATCATTAGTTAAAACCATGAACTATGGACTAGATGGTTTATTTCTGACACAGACTTCGGTGCCTTTCAATGCGCTATGCTCACGTTATACTACACGTCTAGAACGATGCACACACGAACCGCCTTCAAACTGGCCATGCTTATTGTATCATGTAATTCGTTTTTAAGCTATCTATTTATAATAACCATCTATAACCAAATTGTTTCTATAGCACGTATAATCAATATTTTATAACCTATATTATCCTTTAAAAAAAGTAATAACCGTTTTTTGACCGTTCACTCGAAGTTATATGGTCATAATTTTGTGGCACATACGACTATAAAACGGTTTCATCTGATAATACATATTCGTAGAAAATAACTCAATAATTCTTACTCAAGTTTCTCGTACACAATTTCAAAGTTTTTAGAAGAATATGAGAAATGTATTTTTGTGTAGGTAGTATGAAGTATAGTTAGTATAATATTATGTAAGTATTTATTTAATTAGAATAAAAAACAAACAGTTTTAGTACCCGTATAAATTATAAAAGTTTGCTAATACTCGTTATTTAAACTCCAAAATGGTGTACAATATGGTATGGTTGTGATTATTAAATTGATGATAAAATATTATAAACAAAAAAAATCAGGTGGAATATTTTTCGCCGATCCGATGCGCAGACAAGGGTATGTCACTATGTTGGATCCGCTTCAAGATTGTTTTGGCGAACGTATGGGAGGACTGCTGTTTTTACCAGCTTTATGCGGTGAAGTGTTTTGGTCCGCCGGGATATTGTCTGCTTTGGGTACGTATAGTAATATGAATATATATTGAAATATTATTAAAAATTAAAACCATACGCCGCATGTTCGTATGGGTCTTATATGTAGGAGTAGGATTGTAGGTGTATATCGATATCGCTTCATCAATCTGTATGAAAAATGAAAATAATAAAATATGCAATATAAATGTACAGGGGCCACGTTGAGTGTGATCATCGAACTGGACCAGGCTACCAGCGTTATTTTGAGCTGTTGTATTGCAGTTTTCTACACCATTTTCGGAGGACTAGCCAGCGTCGCTTACACGGATGTCATTCAACTGTTTGCTATCTTCATAGGACTGGTAAGACACATCATCCCGACGTATCAATATTTTATTTTAATATAAAACAACAAAATTATATAATATATTTAATGTAACAATATCGCACAAAGTTTTTGTTTTCTAGAGTATACTCTAAATTTAAACTATGTTCTTCATTAAAAACTCTTTTCTGTTTATTAGTTCGCTCACTAATCAACTATGTTGCCCTATTTAAATATCTAAGTTCCCATCACTAAATAAGGACTAATTATCCTATCTATGTTCCCTATCCTCTACCAACGATTGATTGCACTCTCCTTTAATATGTCTTATGCAACTAGCAAAAAAAACTCAATTTTCTCTTTTTGAGTTTTTGAACTTTAAATTATTAGCAAATAACTTTTATTGCTACCGAGTCGATTTCATTGAGCTTACTTCTGTACAATTCTAAAATTAATAAATAAATATAATATCCGAAATATTGCACGCATATAATAATGTACCTAACTAATAAATATTATTATCACTGTCATAGTGGTTGAGTGTGCCGTTTGCGTGGTATAACAAGAAAGTCGATTTCAACCAGCCTGGTTTGGATTTGGTCGGCGAGATCAAGGGAAAGGATTTCTTGAGCTACATAGATTACGCATTGCTGTTGGTGTTCGGTGGAATTCCGTGGCAGGTCTATTTCCAGAGAGTGTTATCCAGTAAATCTGCTGCACAAGCTCAGATACTCTCATTTGTCGCTGCTTTTGGATGCTTCATCATGGCAATACCACCGGTCATTATTGGAATGGTAGCAAGGGCTACAGGTATGTATAGTATACACTTATAAATTATACATATATTGTATATATTATTCAGTAAACATTTAAATGTCAGTATAGTTGACTGGGCAGTAAAATGTAGTGTCACGATAAATGCTTATGCTAACAATCGATATGACCTCATCGATTCTAATCACTAAACCATTTTTTTTCATCCGAACTAATGAAAAATAATAATATTTATGTTTTTTACAAAATATCTTCTTGAAATATAATTAAAGTGTAGCACAAAAGCCACCTAATTTAAAACTAGGTATGGGTTAAACTTAAATTTAACACCAAATCGAACAGTTCAAATTTCATAAAGTTGAGGGTGTTTTTTTTATATTTTTTATATTTCACCTTTCCCATTAAAAACTAAAAAAAACAATTAGTTCAAAAAGATAATTGTATTCGTTCTGCTATAGTTGCACTCATTTGCCTTTTTCGCATATATAGCCGCAAACTCGAATAGACATATTTTAGTAGCATTTAAATTGTGAACATTGCAGCATTAGAAAACTTAATCATAGACTAAATAAATCAGAATGGACACTAATAGATGATAAGGAATTATATGAGAAGTATCGGGAAATCTGATAAACGAATTAGCCATTTTTTTGGAGGAATCAGTATGGCTATGATACATATATATACATACATATATATATATATATATATATATATGTATATAACGTATTATATATATATACATTTATAACAATATTATCTTTTTCCAAAAAAATGTCTGCTTATAATTATTGTCATCATATTGAAGTGTCTATAGAGCCTGATCTAATCTTGGATAACTCGTGAGATCTATTTCCTAGTTTATTATTGTCGTACAGACATGATACATCATATATAAGAGAATATTACTTTTTACAATATTTAATTGTTCTATTGATATTATAAATAAAAGCAATAATCATGTATATATATATTAGTAATATACATTACATTTTGGTTCACGTAACAGATTGGAATCAGACGAAATACGAAGGACCTATGCCAATGACTCAGAAGGAAACTAGCATGGTTTTGCCAATGGTTATGCAATATCTAACTCCAGATTGGGTGGCATTTTTCGCATTGGGCGCGATTTCTGCAGCTATTATGTCTTCGGCCGATTCCAGCGTTTTGTCAGCCAGTTCTATGTTTGCGCGAAACATCTATCGGATGTTATTACGACAAAGTGTAAGTTTTGCATATACGTTTTTACCTATATGGAATATTATAATACGTGATATGTATGTGGCAAATGTATGCTTATATTAAACTAACGTTTTTTAAACGTTTTAGGCATCAGAAATGGAGATTGTCTGGGTCATGCGATTATCCATCGTAGTCGTCGCCTTTTCCGCTACGACTATGGCAATTACTATCCCGTCCATTTACGGCCTGTGGTCCATGTGTTCTGACCTAGTTTACGTTATCCTATTCCCACAGTTAACTATGGTAGTTCATTTCAAACACTATTGCAATACATACGGGTCACTAGCTGCCTACATAGTAGCATTTTACATACGAATGGCTGGCGGCGAACCTCTGTTGGGTCTGCGTCCTATGATACACTTCCCAGGATGGGACGGTGAAAAACAACTGTTTCCGTTCCGGACCACAGCTATGCTCTGTTCATTGTTTACGCTGGTATTCGTCTCGTGGTTTACAAAGTGAGTATTACCATACCATATGTTCAAGGTTTTATACTATTATTATTATTGTATCAGGCACATAATATATCAGTACTCCTAATATGACGTATTTTCAGTGCTATACACATTTATGGGGTGTGGGACAGGCATGGATTCAGAAGCTAAGGGGATTTAGAGGAAATAATGAGAGGTCTTCATTCAAATCATTTTTAAAAATGTTAATTTAAAAATTGAACAATGAAATATATTTTATGTATAAAAATCATTACAAAAATTTTGAAAAATCATTTTTACCTAAAAATTATTAAATTATGAAAAAACATCGAAAATATTGAAAATTGCGAAATGTTGTATACAAGTTCTCCGTACTATATACCGTATAGGGGTATTACTCAGTTAATTGCATCTGTTCATACATATTTTCATATAATCAGTAATTCCGCGTTCGCAGGTGGTTATTTATCAACGGTAAGTTGGCACCGCACTACGACTGGTTCCATTGCGTGGTGAACATACCAGAAGACGCTGTGCGAGTTGGAGAGCCACACGAGGGTGAACAGATGACTACGCTCACCTCAGGTAAGATTGGGGAGGGGTGATGGAAAATGGTTATTATAGTCACCGACTGGCATTTAATTTATGCATCGGTCGCTTTGCAGGTCCGATGGGGCCGCAGTACGGTGCCGCTGTGACCACCGGTCTGGTCGGCAAAGACGAAAGGAACGGCAGAATCAACCCGGCACTGGACATCAATGATGACGAACCGACTACCACTACCGCGGCTGTTCAGAGAAAAGCCAGCGTCGTGGGAAAGGTGTACAAGCAGGGGTACGAACAGACGACCACCGGGTTTTGAGTCGGCCCCGTTTTGATAGGATCACGAGAATTATCGTAGTAGCCCTCTATTCGCAACATATTGTAACCTAAAACCCTTAAGTCTAATACAACAATAATAACTATTCACAAAATTGGACCGGTATCAACACGTTTGGGTATGAATTAACATTAAAAAAAAATATGGATATTGCACGATTGAGAGCATCCGTACTTTTTATGTGTGCTTACCATTTTGAGCACATGTACTATGTTTACGTCCAATGATTATTGGCTTCCGACACTAGTTCAAAAACACGGTTGAGGACAGTATAGTTTAAACAATTGTAATATTTATATATTAAAAAAAACTTTACTACCTATTTAGTTTATAAGGACAGACATTACGACATTATAACAATTTATATTTGTAATACAAAAAATGGTATAAGCTGCATTTTTTGAAATGTTTCAAAAACATAAAGTAATACGGTTTACTTTAAATTAAACCATAAGATATATTTTCAATTATTGAAGAATATCAATGAAAATAATTATAAATAGGTAATTAAAGCTACAATTTTTATTATTAAATCAAAAAATTAATGATTGATAATGTTTTACTCGAGTTATTACTTATTTCAATTTAATAAAGCTGTAATGCGCTAATACTGCTAGTAATAATACCATTATATTATTTTTGTGATTTCAAAAGTTAATCACTTTAGTACGAGTAGATACCAACCAACACATACATTTACATTATTATTTAAGAATGCGTTTTTATAAAAGTCACTTACAATAATTTACGTCTTGAATGTCATTATGATGAAAAAAAGGAGTTTGATAATGTTTTGAAATTTCGAAAAAATTGAGTGCATAAAATATATCTGGAAATAAGAGTATGTTCAATCGTATCATTTTACGGATGAACACATGCATACAATGCTTGATTGCACCATGACCCTTGGAAAAATACGTTAAGGTACATTACAGGACTGATGACCTATTATACATTTAACTGTTTATTTTTTAAATTATCGTTTATTATACATTTTTTTTTCAAACTATTTAGTTTTGATATACGATGATCAATAATTGGCATTCGTAGTTGGTACCAATATCATTAGGAGAAATTCAGAACAATAGTTGGCTTTGAATTGTCTCACAAATATTTTGCCATGTTTATTCACTTGTCATAGATTAATTAAAGTTAAATGGTTAACTTGATTTCTGTTATTTATTATAATTTATTTAAATTAAATATTTTATTGTTTTTTATACAGTTAAGTAGTGTGCCTTAAACCGTCATACCAACCAACATAGTGTAAACGCATTGCATTGATGTGTACCTAAATATGTATCGTGTTCTGAATTGGTTATTAAAAATGTGTTATGTACCCAAACGTGTTGTAACCCAAACTATTATATTATAACTGAGTCCAATCTTGTTGTCCCAACCTACTATTTATCCCTACGTGGTTTTTTTCTTAGTAAAATTTCGTGGGCACCACAACACTTGCGTTTTTCACGTTCCGTGTTGTTTGACTGTTATTTAAAAATATAGAATTAGAAATGAATATTGTATCAGTATTAGAAAACACTGTACCTGTCACACGTTTGAGATCTATAAGGTTATATCATACATTTTCAGTGTTGATTCTTCCAAAAAAAAAAATAATTAAAATAATACATAATAATAAACGATAATAATTAAAATAATTATAAAGTATAGAATAAACACAATATATAAAATTATTTAAAAAAACGCCAATTTAAAATGGTCTGTAGTTGGAAATAAATTAATTGGCATTTAAATTTAACAAGATAAATTTATATTACACTATAATATTAACAGTTTTTTAGTACTAGTATTTTAGAAACTCGAATATGTTAATTAATTAATTGATTAAAGTTGTTAATGTGATTGTTGAGCTTTTTTAAAAACGTTTAAATTTAATCAGAGATTTTATGTGCTTTTATGTCTATTTTTAAGCATAAAAAAATTCCACTATTATTGTTATTATCGGGAATTTGTTAAAGGACTTGTACAATGATACATATCATTTTATCTTACTGTTAAGATTGACAATTACATATCATTATATGTATTCAATACATGACTGACCTTTAGGAAAATAGTAAAAAAAAAAAATACATTTTAGAATTATTACATCTTTTATAATAATAACATTTTATTGGTGATATTCGGTCGGTTTAAACGTTCATCACAACATTATATAATTAAATAATTTTACTGTTGTTTGACTTTAAAATGTTGAATGAAGCCAAATTAGATGAACTAGTTGCGACCGATTCCTCAAATCGAGAATTTACATTACAATTTTAAGTACATAAACATAAAACATATCAGCACACGACGAAACATTTTATTATACGGCAGTTTCGAAATACTTTAAGTCCCGATTTGTATTTTTTTTTTTTTTTTAGTGAAAAATATACAATATTTATACATATTTAAGTATATTATTATATATGTATATCCTTAAACAGACGATTTAGCGTACTATTTACAAGCAAAAAAAAAGTTGTTGTAATAATTATATAATAGAATGGAGTACTAAAGTAAAATGTATTTACAATGAAATTGTCTAATCAATATGTAGTTATAAGTAGTATAATAAAATTTATGTCATGTTAAAATCCGATGTTCTTATTGTAATGCGTTGATTAAAAATTGCGGAACATCACAAGCTACTTAATTTCATTAAATGCTATAAATAAGTAACATTTTTTTTATGGCTGATAAAAATTATTCCTTTAAACAGTCTAGTGACATTGGTAGACTAGATGGTAAACCCCATCCATGTACTCACACTACCATTCGTGGTACCAGTCAGAATTTACTCAGCCGTACACAGGTTGTGGCTGTGATTCAGACAGTGGAGCCGCAAATTCATCAAATCGTATTTGCGTCGGTTGTTGTGATTGCGACCCGTAGCCCGCTGATTGGGTCTGTGTGCTAGACTGGCCAGGTTTTGGCGTCAAATAGCTACTGGAAGACTGTGACGGTGATCCGTTTGCCTGCGATGACTGGTAGTTCAAGTTCCGTCCGTTTGGTGTCACTATCGAAGACGAGATTGCAGACGCGCTGTAACTTTGCGTTGGCGAAGACGTCGTGAACGTCGGCAAAGGCGATTGCGTCGGCCCGCTATAAGGGAACTGTGACTGGGGATTAGCTTGAGAGGTCGGCGTTGGGAACGGTATTGATGGAGGATTATAATTGTATCCTCCTGTTCCTGCTGTAGTCTGCTGTGGTTTAAATTGTACCTGGGTAATCTGAATTTGAGTTGGACTGTAACTGTATCCTAGCTGAGGTGGTCTTGATGTACTCGTTGCTGGGACGCCGGTATAAATATAACTGCCCTGTGGTCGTGGTTGAGCTTGCGCCTTGGGTGGGTTATAATTATTGTTTGAAGTAGGAGAAGTTTGAGGCTGTTGTGGTATCCCATATGAGGGTTGTGGTGGGGATGAGGAGGGTCTTGCATTATTTTGTTGTGTAGCTGGTTGTGGTGGATTGTATGAATAACCAACTTGTTGTGGTATATTTTGAGGTTGCGTTTGAGATGTAGAATAGGTAAAACTGGGTTGCTTGGGTTGTTGTGGTTGTTGTGGTTGTTGTGGCTGTGGATTTGGTCTCGGAGTTGGTTGGTTGTAAGAATAACCTTGAAATTGATTATTTTGTTGCTGAACTGCGGGAGGGCTATAAGAATACCCATTTTGATTCTGTGGCATCCCCAATAGTTGATTTGGTGTATTAAACGATTGTGATGGTATTCCAAAACTGATTGACTGCACTACAGTTGGCTGATTGGATTGAGGAATATTAGCATTAGACGGTTTTGGACTTCCGTAATTTTGTTGAGGAGCTATAGTACTTTGTACTGGAGCACCATATGATGTCGGAGGTTGAGTAGGCTGGGGCTGTGGTAGTGGCTGTTGAGGCAATCCATAGTTTGGCTGTGGTTGAGGCAATGGTTGTTGCTGCTGTGGGTGGTTACAGTTTGGTGGGGGTAGTTGTGGTGTTGGTTGTTGCTGTTGGATTGGTGGTCCATAACTAGGTTGTGGTTGTGGTAAAGGTTGTTGAGATGGTGGAGGTCCATAACTTGGTTGAGGTTGTGGCAAAGGTTGTTGTTGCTGAGGGGGACTATAACTTGGTTGTGGTAACGGTTGTTGTTGCTGGGGTGGACTATAACTTGGTCGGGTTTGTGGCAATGGTTGTTGTTGTTGAGGAGGTGGTCCATAACTGGGCCGGGGCTGTGGAAATGGTTGTGGCTGTTGCTGTGGTGGACCATAATTCGGTTGAGGCTGAGGCAACGGTTGTTGTTGTTGAGGTGGTGGTCCATAACTTGGCTGTGACAAAGATTGGGGCTGCTGTGATGGTGGACCATAATTTGTCTGTGGCGGTTGCTGCAATGGAGGACTATAACTTGGCTGTGATGGTTGCTGTGGCTGCTGTGGCTGCTGTGGTTGCTGTGGTTGTTGTGGTTGTTGTGGTGGTCCATAACTCGGTTGAGGCTGAGGCAATGGTTGTTGTTGTGGTGGAGGTCCATAATTAGATTGTGGTTGGGGTTGTGGCACTGGTGTTGGAGGTCCATAGCTTGACTGAGGTTGTTGCTGTGGTGTATAACTTGGCTGAGGTTGTGGTAATGGTTGTTGTTGTAGAGGAGGTCCATAATTAGATTGTGGTTGGGGTTGTGGCACTGGTTGTTGTTGTTGAGGAGGTCCATAATTCGATTGTGGTTGGGGCTGTGACACTGGTTGTTGTTGCAGAGGAGGGCTATAACTTGGCTGAAATTGTGGTGTGTTGTAACTTTGCTGTGGTCGTTGTTGTGGCTGCTGTTGTTGCGGCGGTCCATAGCTAGGCTGGGGCTGTGGTGATGGTTGTTGTTGTTGTGGAGGTCCATAACTTGGCTGTGGTTGCTGTTGTTGTGGTGGAGGTCCATAACTTGGCTGTGGTTGTGGTTGCTGTTGTTGTGGTGGAGGTCCATAACTTGGCTGAGACTGTGGTATTGGTTGTTGTGGCTGTGGCTGTGTTGGTGTCCCATAGCTTGGTTGCGGTTGTGTTGATGGTTGCTGTTGTTGTGGTGGTAAGTAACCTTGTTGAGGTCGCGGTTGTGTCTGTTGCGGCTGTTGTTGTTGTGGAGCACTATAGCCTTGTATTATCCTTTGTATTTGTGCACTATAGCTTTGCTGTGGTTGAGGTTGTGATGAAGTATACATCTGTTGTAATTGTTGTTGGTTATTATAATCTTGTTGAGATTTTTGTTGAGATGACTGTCCAAAGTTTTGTAACGATTGCAACTGTGTTTGGGTAGAATCACCTTGGATGTCTTGTGAGTTAAAACTTTCAAAATCAAAAGATTGTCCATTTCCAGATGTACTAGATGGAGTATACATTGATGATATGCTAACTGTTGGTTGACTTTGAAAGGGAGTTTGAAGTGATTGAGAATACAATGACGCTGGAAAACCATAAAAACATTTCTAATTAGTTATATGTCATTCAAATTCAATAATTTTTATTTTTATAAGACCAGTGATCCAGATTCTTATAAATAAGTGGATTCATAATTCATATGTTACTTCAGATGTGTTGGATGATCGAAATAACTGATATGAAATTGGTTTTAAATATTACAACAATACTAAAGTAAGCCATAAACGATAATTGCAACACAATAAACATTGATTTTAAATCAGTTTTGTTAGCAATTAAAATTGTATGGTGCCTATAAAAAGTAATTAGGTACGTATTTGTTTTATTACAATTGTAAAATATTTTTCACGGTTTTTGGTAAAAATAGTTATTGTTCTTAATATGTCTATACAAAGTTATTAAATTATAAATACTGATTTTAAAACCATATGATTTTAGAATAAATATAACGTCAAGTGAACATTTTTTAAATTTTAATTTTAATATAAGTGGAATATATTTTACATTCTTTAAAGACCTGAACAAATGTAACATAATTAAATTGTATTAACATAATAAATTCATCGTCTTCGAAGAGAAAAAAAGATAGTACCTTGGTAATTATTTTGAGAATGAACTTTTAAAATTACAGCAATAAAAAGTAATATGGTACTAACTACTAATATGAGTTTGTATAAGATTTCTTAACATTTAACGACTGAGTGTAAGTATTGCATTGTTAGATATGTTATTGGTCTTAAAAAACGAAACTAAAAAGAGAGCATAATATATTACAAAAAATCGCATAACGAAGAACGAACCACGAAGAATCATATAAATATAGACTGCTATTAGTAGCTATATGGCCATGTATAATAAATATGATCGACAACTGACATATAATAACTTCTCCTCTTAATTTGAAGACATTTTAGCAGTAAAAATAATACGTTACTGCTTACTTTGCTAAATCTTTTATATTTGTTTTAATATTTTTTATTTAGAATAAAGGTAAATTAGAAATTATTTAAAATTTTAGAAATTGTATTCCCTCTAAAATTAGGCACTATTTATTTTAATTGCAATAATATTATTCAAGCATTTATGTGATTATTATATATATAAACACAATTTTAGTTGTTTCGTATTTAAATATCTAGCTTAGTGAAAAAAAATAATAGTAATTGTAAAACTTTTAGTTATTATTTTAAAACAACTATACAGTATACAAGTTATAAAATTGTTAAATGTTTAATCATTTATTTTCGCTGAGTATCGGAATCATAGTTTTCCATTTAGGTTTCCAACATCATTATTGGCGTTTTATATTTTAAATTATACCTGGTGTTGATTTAGAAAAGGGAAATTTTAGCTTTAATGAAGCATTGATCTCATATAAGTACATAAAAAGTAGACGAACGATTTATTGAAATTAATATGATTGCTATTGTAGGTTTTACGGATAATAAAATACGAATGAAATATTTACTACGTCAATTATTATCATAAGTGTTACGTATTCATTTAAGTTTAACATAATCATTATTGTATGTTGTTGGTACCTATTAATTAAAGCTCGATTGTTTGAATATATCCAATTTAAAAATTATACCTTTACGTTAATACGTAAGTTATGAAACTCAAAGAAAACGAAAAAAAAAATAATACACATGAACTACGTTAATTTTGTGCAGATCGTCTCACGGTGTTTGCACTTTTGTTTTCCTTGGTAGAATACCGTGAAGTTACCATAATCCGCTTCTCTACATATCAAGTACACTTGAATTATTTCAAAAACGGCGGAACATAACTGGAAAATTAACAATCTCTAGCAAGTATAGTGTTGTTCTTACGTAACGACATTATAATTATTCAGAGCCTATGTGTAGAGACGCTCATATTGTGCTCTTGGTATATATTATAATATTACTATATTTTCAGTTCGTATTTGTATACACAAATTTATATAGGTATGTTTGTGATATTGATTTTTTTCAACACTAGGCCTGCGTGTTTTTTCACTGCGAACAATATAATACGCTCTTCTTCGTGAAATTGCGATTGAATTAAATCATATTTATAAGTATAATACATATAGGTACCTACGTGTATGCATAATATATTGTACAGATTTTATAACTTGAACGAGCACAGAGCGTATAGATACGCCTATTCACGCGGGAGAAAAAAAATCATATTCTTAATGAATTATATAGACGCACGCACGATATTATAATGTGCACACAACACGGAAACCATTAATCCAGCAGAAACTGTCGGCGAATAAGCAGCAGCGTAGATGACGAAAGAGAAATATTACAAAAGACAGATATGAAAATGAATAGTAGGTATATAATAGTAATATAAATACATAATAGTAGGTTTTTCGAGGAGTAAGTGGGCACTTTGGTCTCTGCACACGATGACGGAATAAAATATAGACACAAGTATACACTATATTGTAGGATATTTAAACTTTCGATTTTATGTGTAAATAAAAGCAAATTTTGATTTGTTGTCAAAAAATTATGTTCATACGAAATGAATTTGATTTTTCTTTATTTTTCCAGCTAAATAGTTTTTGTTCATTTACAACGAGTATTAAACCCATCATTGGTTGTATTTTGCCGGAACAAATACCAGTGGAATCAACCGATCAATACCACAATACAGCACCTAATGGCTAATATCTATCAATAAAGTACTGTTGTTTGAGTTCAACAAGAAAATATATGTTAAGAATAATAATTATATTGTTTTAATTTCATTACGAGTTACGACAACTTCAGGAGGTAGTAGACAAATTACTGTTCGTACTCGGACAAAAATCACGTTGTCGTAGATGATTAAAAGAAATTTAAAAAGAAAAACTGCATCGAAATTCGATGTTCGAATTAAAGATAATTTATAATTCCAATTTTTTTAAGCGGCTATAACAATATAAAATTAAATCGCTTTAGAACGGATCCGCCTGTGAAGAATCGTGCATCGTTGCGCAAACATTAACTTAGATATAATTATACAAATACGGTATAATTCAAAATCCACCTACTCAAAAACTAGTTTTCAAATCTAATAGTGTTTTTACACTTTCCTTTCTTCTTGGATGTACAATATTGATTAGACGTGATTAAATTTACCTATCAAAATCGACATTTTTTCATTAATTTTAAATTTTAAATAGTGTATTTGTGTTTATTTTTATTTATAAAAATGTTATTTAGTTAAAATAACTTAACAAATTATTTGTATGTATTGAAAGATCATTAAAATATAAAAATAATTACAAGTAGTACAACCGAATTTAAGAATTTTCAAGTGTACGATACATTAATACCTATACATAATTTTTTTTTTCTGTGTTTGTGATAACTAGTTCATCATATTATATTTTTATTTAAATGCAAATTATATATTATAATATACCTACAGTCATTTTTTTTTTAAAAATACTGTTTTCAATACTAGATGAAAGGTGATACATTTTTCACAAAAAAAATATTTAGTAATATCTCATATAAAAGTTAGTACTTACTACCTATAGTAAATAAATCGAACTATCCACATTTTATAGGTAGACGTCACTAAACTTTAATTGTTGAAAAAATTTAATTGGTTTAAATTGTAATTTCAAAATAAATCTTACAATAAGCTAATAAATTATTAATTATCTAACGAAATATTTAAGAATTATTCGTATTCGTTCTTCGACTACCTAAGTTCAAATTTTGATTGTGTCAGTTTATTTTTCGAACCAAATAAATTGTTATTCACTCGGTCGGCTCGAAAATCAAACTGCAGTTCGTGTCATCATTTTATTAATACTAGTGCGTCGTGAACAAATTATTTGGCTCTGCGTGCGAAACGATTAGCTTTGCGGATAGGTTTGAATTTATCGTATGATAATTTTGCCCCATCCAGGAATAGTTGATAGGTACTGGCATGATGCCACCATATCGCCGGCTATAACCATATTATAACAGTATATTACGCCTACAATTGATCGCGTTTCGACTCTCTACTGAAGAATGTGTACGGGTATTATATTATATTATAATTTACATTATTATAATCGGTGATAATATTTGCCTTCCAACCGCGTCGGATGTTACATAGTATGTTATAATAAGTATTTTAAATAGCACCTCTCTCGGGCGACGGACCGTGACGCTCCGATTGGCGGCGTGTGACCCGCACAGACACGTCCAGACGACGCGTCTCTTCGAGTATCGCGAGCGGCGGCCGCGGAAACGCGACGGTCAGTTTCCGGCAATTGAATTTTTCGGCGGCGGTGGCTGCGTCTTTCCGGTCCCCGATGCACATTGTTATTGTTTCGTAAGACCAATTATTATTATTATTATTATTATATTAACTGGCAGGTCGGCTTCGTGTCACCGTCACCGCCGCCACCGCCGCCGCGTATTCCGCGCATTATTGTCGTGTTGTTTAGCCAGTTCGCACACTAAACGAATGTATAGGAAGTGACGCTGCGACCACGCCGTGGCGATCAGTCCCGTGTCAAATCGTACCGTTCTCACACCGCATAATAATACAGGTACCACACTTGCACTGTTATACCAGGTAATGCGCATTTAGAGGTATCCATAGGTAGATGATGTATACATAATATTATGTATATCGATGGGTATACAGGTACGCGGAAACGCACACGCGCCACCGTGGCAGTTGTCGCCGCTGTCGTGACGTCTATTGTGTATTAAATATATAATATGGGTAATAAATGGGTTACAACGTATGCACACTATTCGCGTTATTGTCACGATGTCATTTGTCCGCTAAGGCGAAGATTACATAGGTATTATTATTATTATTATTAGGTATTATCATTTATCAGACGTCATTATAATAATATGTATCTGCACGTCTCACGCATTGCGGCGCAGTACGTCCCCTGAATTGGAAAGTCTGTGCACGCTCGTCTTATCAGCGCACTGCAATCGGGAAATTAATATGGCTTTTCGGTACGGCAAACCAATATATTATGGTATATTATGATATTATGATTCTGAAAACCTGTCGATCACCGTTTCAAACACCAATAATCGTTTCAAAATCCAGTAGGTTTGTAAACGTTTTTACGATTTTTCTAAAACTCAATTTGATATTGATCATCGTATAAAATGATGTAAATATCCCGCACGGTTCATTTTCAACACACCGAAATACGGTCAGAAAATAAGTTATTGTATTCTTTTGACGTTATCGCTGCTTTTAGCTTTTAAATAGTTATTAAGATGTACCTATTTGTTTGGATTTCGAATTAAATAATAAATCAATACAAATATAATCAAGTTGGTACATTTTCTATCTCAAGTAAACATAGCTTAATAAAAACAAATAAATAATAATGCCATCTTAAACCGATTTAATTTTCTCCGATCCAAACCACAGTGGGGTTTTCACTGAAATCTAAATGAACTAAATAACTTATAACATGAACTAATTTGGTTGATACGAACTGACGTTAGTTGAAACCGTTATTTTGAAATAATTATCGAAATTTAGTTTTTGAAATGGTAAAGATAACATTTTTAAATTGAAACAAAAATCGAGAATTAAATTCAAGTATCTAAAGTTTTCAACGTACTAAAAGTATACATTTCTCAACGCACGGTAACTTTCCAATTTTGCAGTAGCATATAATGTTATGATAGTAACACATCGTGAAATGCGTGTTACATATTATTATTCTGCATTCCATTAGAACGAGAAAATCAATTTTGTCATCAATCACAAGGTATATTATAGGCACGGAGAAAATAATTGGAGATGATTTGTATTTTTTTCATCGAATATAGTATTCATTGTTGATGCTACTGCAGTGCTATAATAATGTTAACAATTTATTTCCGCTGCAAACGTGAGCTTTTGGTTATTGTTTTGTACACAATCAGATTTACGAGCTATTTTGTGTCAATCACAATTCACAACAACAATTAATTTAGCTATTAATCGTTTTGTATACATACTACGATAGTTATAAATTATAATATGATTAAAGCTACATGTTTTTTATTTATGACTGAATAGAACCACTGGTACAGTCGCGTTGAATATAAATAGTAAATTATAATATTCAGATACACATTTTTTAAAATGATTATCGTTATCAATATTAAATATAAAACGTATTTATGTAAATATTTATTCAGTTTCGTTCATTACCTATTCTATTAGAACAAATTGCACAATTACATTTTAATTTTACAATTTTCTAAGTGTAGGTTATGAAGAATGAAAATCCATTACATATTAATAATTTGTATTGAAAAAAAACCTTTATAAAGTAAGAAATAAAATTGATAACTGTAAATGTAATACATAAAAGTGATTATTCATAAAAATATTATGGTAACTTCATTTTTTTAGAACGAGTTATTTAATATTCAATTTTAAACGTAAGGTTTCAATAAAAATTTAGTTGGATTTTCTTTTGAGAGAGATGTGAAATTTGATTGTTAGGTAGTTTTTTAAACGGTTTTGGTATGTAGCACTCACCATCACGTTTGTTCGGTAAAACAGCTAAAGCCAAGTTCAAGAAGACCGCACAAGCCGTTGCCAACAAATACGCCCTCATCTAAAAACAAAAAAATAAAATTCGATTTAGCAGAAATGAATATGTCAAGCTTCCGAAATCTATACTCAAATAATTCGGTACACTCATATCATTCAGTAATGTTTTTAACCGATCATATAAAATTTCATACCAGTTTAAAGAATATTTATGCACTTTCCTATAATGAAAACTAATAATTCAATATTTATCGATTGTTTATTTTAACATCATGGTAATGCGAGAAGGTAATGAATATCTATCGTTCTACATTTTGATGTCGAGCAGAACGATTTATTAAAATAATGAACCTTGTTGATCATTTAATTTTCTTATAATAATAACAATACTTAATTTTAATTTCAATCGAAGTGCAATCTCACAAGGAAGGCTGATATTCGATTAAATGTGAACGTGAGTTACTGACAACAAAAGCGCTTATATCTCACCTCCTGTTGTTTGATTATATAAAACTTGGATTTAAAAAAAAAAACCTAAAATGGTACTGATTCAAATTATTTATTGGACCGTATACAGAAATTATGATATAATCCACAGATTATCCGTTTCCGAACGTCCTGTTGTGGTGCAGTAGGCCACGAGAATCGTACTAAAAATATTTAGTAATGCAATTATGCTGTCAAATATTCAATTTATGTATTCGTTTCGAGTAAAAATAAAATATTGTTGGGATAATATTATTTTTTTTTCACCTAAATTTCACTGATCAAATTACAGTGTTAACTATATATTAAATCAAGAAAAGAATAGGTAATTATTACGTATGAGTAATAATGAGTTGATTTTGTATTAAGATATATGTTTATACACGAGGTACATGGGTACTCAAAAAATAACATAAGTGTATGAAGTAAAAATAAAATAATTAGTTAATTAATATTCTACGTTGATTTAGTTTTATATGTTAAAAGCTTATAAGTAATAAACTTATGGAAAAATATAATATAAAGGCACTATAAATGTAAATAAATCACTTTATATCATACACGTAAGTGGAGATAGTTTAAGAGCGTTGGAGTGATTTTTTATTTATTAAATTAAATACGAGGATGTTGAAAATAATTCATTATTTTGTTATGAATGCATCATAATGAATTTTCACCTTTCTCTTTTAGTCAATTTTTAAATAAATTACTGATGATTATGTATACATTGGGTAAATCAAAAAACACATTTTTTCCAATTTGAAAATATACCTTTGACTCGTAGTTTTAATTCAGTGTAAAAAAATTGAAAAACACTTTTTATTACCTAGCAAATGATATTTGTTGCAAATACAAAACGGTATACTAAAGTAAATTGATGAAAATACTGCTACATTAATATGATTAACTATTATTCGGTTGCAAATGGATAATAATTCATATTTTAAACATCCCTTGAAAAAGTCTTATAAATTGATAAATTATATTATATTTAAGTCTTATAAAAATCACCTAATGTTGTGAAAACGATAAAAAAAACTTAAAATCTTAAAAAAAAATCAACAGAAAATCAATTTTAAGTTAGTTGCGTAAGTATAAAATATACTAAAATGACAGGTTTAATAATAATTTAAGTCTCAACTTAGTACTTGTATACTCACTGTGAATGTCTAATCCAAATTATTATTAAAAATCCTTCGGGTTATCCTTGGTTCACATTAAGTCTATTTGAACTTTGTAGACGAAAAAACAAAACGAAAATCAAACAATCATTAAAATACGGAATAACGGCACGTACCTACTTTAATTTGACCGTTATCGTTACGACACTGGACAAACGGTGAGCGCGACGCGAACAAGAATGAAAATGAATGAAAAAACAACGAAAATTCAATCAAACGGTTTTCGACGGCAGAGAGAATCCGGCGATTCCCGGTCCCGACATGGTGACTACAAATGGATATTGGATGGGTGACGGTAGGCAATTCGTATTTTATACGAAGATTTTGAGAGGGACAAGAGGTAGAAGAAAGTGATTATAGTGGTGGCGGCTGTAGCGGTGCCAGTGGTGGTGGCGACCTTGTCGGGGAAAACGCTGACTATAATGATATAGTTACCGAGTTGCGTGATACAGCTTGAGATCATACATATTATATAGTATTAAATTGCTGAAGGAATATGGGCACCTGTTATAATTCATCCGGTCTGCCATGTGTAATGCATTATGTTTTCCACACAATTACTGGCAGCACCATCTGACCTCTAAGAATTGGTCGGGGGACGCTCTTATGATGGGTATAGTCATCCAGTCACAAGATACCAAGGAAATATGATCATTATGATAAAAATATACACTACGACATGTGTAAATATTTTATGACACTATTAATTCACAACTATGTGTTAAATTAAAAATTCTACAGTTATGTTACATATTTTTTTTTTTTGATTTTTCAGTGCAGTATTGCAGTTGTACCTGATACCATTGATTTTGTAATATGATTAAAATCAATGCTAATACCTTAAGTTATTTACTTACCAACTCTATAGACTATTATTGTTCATTTCCCGTCATCAAAAATCGGTTAGCTGTATTCGACTAAAAAAAAATTGATTTTTACCTAAGTACCTATAACCTACCATCCACTACGTATTCTTAACCTATACTTAAGATAATTGCGATTTATCTTATTATAGTATAACGTGTCCCAAATACGATGTAGTCATAAACTATGAATTTGATTATTATTATTTATTATACTCTATATTGAGCTTGTCCGTGCTGTTCAAAATAAATAAATACTAAGAATTCGTACGCTTATAAAAATAGCTTTTTCCTCATAGTGTCATTAATTTGTCACCGTCGAAAATCCCAACCAAGGACCAGCAATGGCTTACAAATTCGAGTCTTGTGCGAGTGTACATTGTACATATTTTATGGCATGCTGTAACAAACATAATATATTCAGCATATTGTATACATGTATATATTACAAAAACGAACTTTAATTTATGCATGGAATAATTTGTAAATTAAAATAAGAAATAAAATTAATTTATTTATAAGCAGGTGAGCACCTGATCTCCTTGTTTAACAGGCATTACAGTAGTACACTAATACAGTTACTTCTATTATTACAGGTAGAACAGAACCGTATTTTTTAGATTTTAATTAACAAATGTCGGAACGGTCGCGGTGTAGGGTGATAAGCCCCCGTTGCCAACGTTATAGGTACAGTGCATTTAGTATCCTCAAAATGTCATCTTCATAGTCGCACCTCTACATTAATATTATAATAATCACAGTACTGATGGTGTATTGACTGCGTTTCGATGCAAATGTAATGCTTTCGGTCATGTTCTGTTCGTACCTGTAATATATCAGGTACATAATATTATAAGCAGTGAGTACTATAAAATATTATTAATATTGGTTAAAGATGCCATGGAACCATTAACAATTGCCAATAATTGGATACGGCAAAAACGCCATACATAATAACATTATTATTTATTATAATACATCGTCCTTCGTCGATCGTTATCGTGCTTTGCTGTCTGCTCCCAATTAATGTACCTACATTCCGAGTTTTATTTTATGCTCATAATTACTATACATAACAATATTTACCGCAAAGAGCTGAAACAATTATGTTATATACATTTGCTGCTACTGTCTGTACTTCGTTCCAGATAGGAACGCGCTGGCGGTAGGGATAGTTAAGAATTTATTTTTAACAAGAGGGCTGATGTCTTTAAAAGGGAGCCAGAGAAAACATCAAAGGGCTTGGAATTTTCATCGGAAATCGGTAATAATATTAACAAACGAATATCAGGGAAAATGGTATCCCGATACAAAAACATCGTTGAAAATAATATCCACAGACAAAGTAAAAAAAAAAAAACAAATAAATAAAATGACATATCACAAAACACATGCGGATTGTACGTGTTTAGAGTGATTGGTTTAAGCCATATAATATTATCCTTGTATTTTTATCGCGAAACCCATTCCATCTCAGAATAAATGACTGCGAAAACCTTATTCTTTAAATTTGAAATTGAATATTATTTGTCTTTTCTTAAAGTATACCTACTTTCAAAACTAAAGAGAAACACGTGGTGGTCGGTGGGCGCCTCTCTACTTCCCATTAGTTATGCATGCATGGTTATGACGATCTTCCCCTCTTTGTATTATTTTTATTTATCAATCGAATAATGTATTCAATTTACTTGCCAGACGAATTATGGATAATTGTCTCCTTATTGTGTGCTGATATATGGGTAGGTACTGAGCGTACAGCCATAATTTGTATAGGTATATTCGAAATTCTTCGCGAACAAACATTATAACATTTAATGTTTTCTATTGAGTCATAAACGACATAATGCGGAGTATATTATAGTGATCGCAAAAAAAAAAAAAAAAATAGTCATCTTGTGAAAAACGAAATGCAACTCTATACCTATATGATATTATGATATATAGTGCAATATTTTTAGTCGTCTCAAGTATGATATTATGTCGGCGCGTATAGCTTAGGTAATGAGTTTTTATTTATTTTTTTTAAAAGTATTTCCGGCTGTTCTCTTTGCTTTGCCCACACGCCGATATAATAAGTGAAAAGGTTTTGAGCATTCACTGCATGTCGTACAGCACACATTCTGTGCATTTAATTTTCAATTTTGGGACGTGAACCGTTATTCGCTGCGTGTGCATTATCTCCGCAGTCCGTTCTGCACTCGTTGCTGCCGATGGAAGACAAATTAATCTATTAGTGTACGAGGCGATTGCACAACACTCCATACACAACCACTGCACGAGGGACATCGCTTGACCATCAAGTTACCCATTGACTTGATATGTTCTACCAAACCATGATCCATATAATAACATTAAGATATATATTACGCAGCGCTGAATTTGAAACTGGCCGCGATGAAATATTCATTTTTAATTTCCCGCCGTTTGAATGGGTATACGGTTTCCGCGGTGATGGTTTTGTTGACTTCCCATGCCATATCCGTCTTATATTATATTTTTTACTGTGCGTTTTGATTTTATTTTGTTCCTTGTAGACGATAAACATAATTTAACGACGCGACGACTGCAGCTTACACGCTGATGAACACACATCACCTATTATTACAGTAATAGTACATGTTTTGCTCCTAGCGAACAACGTCTAAAATGTAAGCAGAACCATGTAGGCGTAATGTGGAATTGGTGAATCTCGATCATCTATATAGGGCCAAACCACAAATACTTTAATAATAATCAGTTGAAATGTTTGAAGTAAATGCATCTTATTGATGCATTATTATAAGCTCGTTAACAATTATTATCATCCGAGTTTTAGATTTGTATGTTTGTTTTAAGCATTTTTAAGAACAATTTAAATAACCAGTACCTATAGCTTTAGTCATTCTTAAAATGTAATGTATAGAAAATAGAATTTAAGTTGGTATGTTCTGAAATGTGTAAGTACATACATAAGAATACCAATGTACATAAATCGTTTTTCCAAATAATTCCATTGTGACGATTAAGTTAAGTTAATTCACAATTAAATCAAATCCCTTTAAAGAACATAATATTACCAGGTTGATAACAACATTTTTTGTTATTTGGTATAATTATAATTTTGCTAGAAACACGCCTCTTATCACACGTTTTTATCAATAGTATTTTTCTGGATATTAGGTATATATTAAATATACATATTATATTATTCGATCATACAAACTATACAAGCTACAACATGCACCTACAGCTATTACAACATGTAATGTGTAATAACATTTAACTGTAACCGTAAATAAGTTCATCTCTTAAAATAAAATTCAAAATAATCCCCCTCACTACTAGATTAAAAAAGTTATAGTTGCAAAGCTTTAATTGAGGGCCTCAAAAATTATATCACGAATAAAAATAAAAGTAAAAACTGCTTACAAATTATTGTTTGTACCATTTACGATTTTTTATTCGAAAACTATTCGGTACATTTCTGAACAGCCGACCGTTATAAAAAATGACCTTTCTGAAGTATGTATGTAATATGTATTCGATATCCAATCTATTTTGTAGATGCATAAAACTATTTTGTGTAGAGTTTTTTAACAGACCCAAAAAGTTTCAATAAAAAAAAAACGGATGAAAATCATTATAGAACCGACTTTGCTCGCTTAGTGAGATGGTTAAGAGAGGGGGAGGGGGTTGTCAATATCTAGCTCACATTGAACACCTTCCCCGTAAATACGCCGTCGGCCATGACTGCTGATTCTATTTTCTAAAATGAAGTTTAGGGACCGATAGTTTTATATTTCAATAAAAAACATGACGGGTCGAATTGCATCGAATAAAATGCAAATTTCCTGCATTAATATTATAGTATTATCTAGATGAATTTATTTTAAAACAAAATTAATTTTTTCGGAGAGTAGCTTAGCCACCATATTATATAGCAAAAAATCACTCTCAAGTCACATTACATTTACATATATATATATTTTTATATATTATATGCTATTAATAGGGTTTAGGAATTCATGTATTTACATTTTTTTTTGTCCTATTTGTAGAATACTTTAGATAAGATTAATTTGCTCTGTGAGATGGTGAAATTATTACAAAGTTTGACTTTGAGTATTTTTGCATATAATTTCGCTATCTTTTTAGAAGATATTTTCTAGAATAGTTATCTATAATAAGTACCCGGACACTTAATTAAAAGTTGTTTGATTTGTTTTTAATTTTATTAATACCTCAAAAATGTATAAGCTTATAAGTTATAAACCATGTTGCTCAATTAAAATTTGTTTTCTTGCATATTTTCACGATTTTGGCTGAACGTTATACGGCATATTTTGATTATTTTTAGCATATAAACTTTGGACTTGGGGCTGTGATAGAAAAAAACAGCATCAAAATGAAAACTTTTCAGGAAAGCCTCATTTAATT